CACCACATATATTCACCAGCAAACTGGTATTAACTGAGTAGCACCTAAGTGGACACATAGGTACTACAGTAATAGGGTATTGGGCAAGGGGGAGAGGGGAGCGGGGCGGGTATATACATACATAATGAGTGAGATGTGCGCCATCTGGGGGATGGTCATGCTGGAAACTCAGACTTGTGGGGGGAGGGGGGGAAAGGGCATTTATTGAAACCTTAAAATCTGTACCCCCATAATATGCCAAAATGAAAATAAATAAATAATATAAAAAAAAGAGTGCTGGGAAGACATTGGGGCATCTTTGAGGACAACAAGGCTTGCAAAGATGTAGGAGAAATGTGTTTTAGATAGAGGGCATAGCTATTCCAAAGGTCATGGGATGCAAATAAACGAAATACGTTCAGGAACAGCAAAAGTTCCAGTGACAGAGTGAACAGGCTGGGACCTGAGGTCAGACTCGGAGAAGTCAATACTGAAAGCAGTTGGAATGATTTCTATTAATAGGAGCGATGGGAAGACATTGAAGATTTTGAGTAGTGGATGAAAGCAATCTCACTCACTTCCACTCTTATAAATTTGCTCTGGAAGCTATGTAGAAATGGATTCCACTCGTGAATAGAAATCAATAAAATGAAGATTAGAGCCAACAGCTATTGGCACATTTCTCAAATTTGTCAAAATAACAGAGTTTTCAATTTTTAAAGGGACCATAATGTGAACCAGTTCTGTACTCTGCTGAGACTCTTTAGCTAACAGTTGCAAATTATATTTATAGTCATACATATATAACAAAAATAAGCAACCACTGAATTAATACTCCTTAACACTCCTGACGACAGAAACCTCACAATCCACAGAGGAAGAACAGATGCACACTGCCACAGCAGAGCGGCTGTGGGGTGCAGCCCAGCAATGGCCGGCAGGGGGCGCTACTGGGCCCAGCGGCACTTGCAGCCACTGGTCCTGTCAGCCAAGCACAGGATCAGTGAGTCTTCCTGTTGGCCAGGTTCAACCACCTTCACCTGCCTCTGGTGCTGTTGACGGAAAATGCAGTTATGAATTCTTCCTCTTTCATCCGTGGATCAGCTGGAACACATACAAGCACGGACGGTTACAGAGATCTTGGTGAGGCTGCTGCCCCTGTCTTCCTAAGGCCACCTGTTATTCCAGGACACTAAATCAAATCGATATGTTTTTCAGTCCTCATTTTACTTGACTTTTCAGCAGCATTTCACCTACCTCTTCCTTCATTTTTTACATTCTAAGTTAAAACCTAGTGAAGAAAGAACATTCTGAAAAACATACAGTTGAGTATACTACACCACATGCAGTAAAGCTGAATGTGACAGTCATTTAACATGGACTGTCACACAAATGGGTATTTCTCCTTGTACAAAACAGTTTATATAGTTGTTTTATAATAAAATGTATTATACCAGGTTTACAAATAATGTATGTGAAGGAACTGGTAGATTTTTAAGCCATACATTTCAAATAAATACATTCCATACAGTCTGTTGAAAAACTAGCTCCATTTCTTGGCATTCTAAATAAAATCTAAATCCCAACATTGGAATTGATGATAACCACAGAAAATTGACTCTGAAACTAATAATAAAATACACATTTTGAATTAATGTATATTAAGTGGATTAAGTAGGGCAAAACCAAGAAATACCAGTTATTTCCATATAGCACACAAATAGGCACATTTAATAGTTCAGTTTTAAGCATCCTTCAGTGTGTGCACTGAGAACTAGATCCTACTAAGCTGATTCAGGACACACCTCCATATCCAGCTTCTTTATACCATCCATGCCATGAGATGGTTCAGGGTCCTTCCACGCTCTTGAAAACCTCTTTCCACCACGTCTGTTATCTACTGTCACATATTAAGTGAAGATGCCATTAAATATGAGCAATGCCTATCTTGTGCAATATGTGCTTATGTGCGTCAGGAGGCACCAACGGAGATAAATGTTATTGTCTTTTTTGGGAGGTAACAGGGCTTTGGGGCAGAGGGAAATTAAAGAGCCTTCCGCGAATGACCCTTTCCCAGCACCAGCAGACAAAAATAGTGTAAAATTACACATGGGACATAAAAAGGAAAAAGGGCTGTCCTGCAAAAAGAATGGTTCTGTCCATTACGGGAATAAAAGTTAATGAGAAAACCTTTCCAGGTATTTGAAAGCTCCCCATAGGTCTTCTCTCCTCCCCAGACTGAAGACTAAATTAGGTTCAGGTGATTACTCCACTGCATCAAGTACTTGGTCTGGTTTGCTGAACTTGGAGGCAGCTAAAACACTATTCTGCTTTTCTCCACCAACACACACTGGGTGGGGCGGTTGTGATGATTCCACCTGGAGGAGAGAGAGGGGCTGCATGCCCACACATGGTCCAACTTGAACCACCTGGGGAGTGTGTGAACAAATTTGTAGTAGTATTATTTTCCATAAGCAATTTTCAGAGGTCTCTTTGGCAATTTCTCTTTTGCATACAGTCATAAATAATATTCAATTGAGATTTGGAGTTGAAAGACATGGATTGAGGACCCAGTTCTGCCATGAGCTGTTGGGAAAATAACCTAATGCAATTAAAAAGGAACATGATTGCTCTGACAGAGTTGCTGTGTGGATGTGATGCTGGTAAAACAGCTCAGTAATTGATAATGGTGCTGAAAATCACTGAGACAAAGTTTGAAATGGAAAAAAGAAGTAGTAGTATTTTAAACATTTGCAGAAAGTTAAGCATTTAATAAAAGGTACGCTATCCTTTTGCCATTTCCTCCTCAACTTGTCAAAAATTCTCCAAAACTTCCTAAGGCAGACAACAAATGAAGGGGTCCTTTAATTTAAAAGTTGTAAAGCTGCAACGAGGGACTATCAGTGCCCTGAAGATTATTCATTTTGGTCCCTGGTGTGATCTAGGTACTTAAGTAACTCCAAAATCACAATGGGAGTGATCTTGTTTTATTCTCAACTACTTTGGGCTTTAATCTTAGAAATAATATTACAATTTTACTTAAAAATTAAAACACCACACCACCCTTGCATGAAATGTAAGGATTTTGACATGCCACATAGTCTAGTGTCTTACCATTTCTTTATTATTTGCCACATGTTCATTTAGCTCCTGCTTTGTCAGGCACTTTTCTGGGCAGTAAGGATATAGCAGGAAACAAACCAACAAAATACTATCCTTGGGGAGTTTAAATGCTATTCAGGAAGTTAGAAAATAAACAATGAATAATCAATATAAAGTTGGAGGGACTATGTGCTAATGACAGGAAAATATGTGAGGCTTGCTGCCCTGTCTTTCTAAGCTACCTGTTATCTCTAGGAGAAATGTGCTTTAGGTACAAGCATAGCTATCCAAAGGTCGTGGGATGGAAATAAGCCAAACATTTTCAGGAACAGCAAAAAGTCCAGTGAAAAGAGTGAACAGGCTTGGGACCTGACAAACTCGGAGAAGTCAACCTGAAAGCAGTTGGGATGATTTCTAAATATACAATGGGAGAGAACCAGAGAAGATGGCGGATGAGAAACACCCCCAAACAGAGTGTCTCTGCAGAAAAGACAGATCTAGCAAAAATTAGAAGAAAGAAACAAGAAGACGAGCCTACATCGGATGAGGGTCGGAAGGAGGAGTACCGGAGACCGACCGGGAAACTGCACAGGAGGAGTCACAGAGAAGAACTGGAAGGTGAGCAGCCAAAAGAGACCAGTGGAAGTGTAGGGAATAGCGTGTCCCCTCCCCTGCATCCTGGGCTGCTGGTGGGCTCCTAGCAAGTGGAGAGACCTGCGGACACCAGCCCAGAGACGGCCGCTGCCAGTGAGCGAACAAGAGCGGATAACAGGACATAAAACAACAGCGTAGCCTGTTCTCCCAAGCAACCGCCACCTACTGCAGGGAGAGCATCCTGCACACCTTTTCACAACACCTACTGACTCATTATAAAGGGAGGTGTCGAATCTCACCCACAGACACCACGTAACGGCTCAGAAACTAAAAGAAGGTGTGTGAATACCCAAACAAAAACCTAAATAAAAGAAACAACAACTGATCAACATGAGAAGAAATCAGCGAAGGAACTCAGGAAATATGAAGAACCAAGCGGAAAACACACCCCCCAAAGAGAGCCCAGCCCCCTAAGAAATGGCAGCCACCAACCAAAATCAGGCAACCAAAATGACAGAAGAGGAATTTCGTATGTGGATCATAAGAACACTCACCAAACCTGCAAGAAAACTCAATAACCAACCACAAAGAAACCACAAAAAGCCGCCAGGATCAGGAAAAAAGGTTCACTGAAGAAATAGACACAATGAAGGAAAGTTTAACTGAACTCCTGGAAATGAAGAATCAATTCAGGGAACTACAAAATACAGTGGAAAGTCTCAAGAACAGGGTAGATTAAACAGAAGAAAGAATCTCAGAGCTTGAAGATAACACCCTCCAATTAAATAAATCAGTCACAGAAATACAGCAGAGAAACAAGAGAAAAGAGCAAAGTCTACAAGCAGATGTGGGATTATGTAGAAAACTAATGTGAGATCATAGGTTACAGAAGGGGAAGAAGACAACAATCACGGTTGACAAGCTATTTGAAAATATATAGGAAATTTCCCGAGCTTGCTCAAAATCTCGATATAAAAGTTCAAGAAGCTCAGAGGACCCCTTGGAGATTCAACGTAACAAGAAGACGTCACAAATCGCAGTCATCAGACTGTACCATACAAACATCAACTAAAGAGCCCCTTCTAAGAGCTGTAAGACAAAAAGAAGCAAGTAACATTCAAGGGGAAAGCCAATTCAAATAACAACACCACCAGACTCTCTAATGAGAACTTTACAAAGCAAGGAAGACTGGGGCCGCCATTCTCACCCTTTTGAACAAAAATCCCAGCTAGAATCTTACTACCCCCTGCAAAACTAAGCTTCATATAATAGGAGAAATAAGACATTCTCAGACAAGCAATTCTCAGAGAATTCACCAAGACAAGACAGCCCTACAAGAAGTACTCAAAACAGCGTTACGCATGGAACATCATAATAATAACCCACGAATATAAAAACAACCAAAACCCAAAGATTAAAGGCCAGATATTACAATGGCTCAAGACAGAAATCATAGCAACAACATCCAACCCAACAGAATGAACAGTAATCCACCTTACCTATCAGTTCTCTCAATAAATGTGAATGGCTTAAACTCTCCACTCAAGAGACATAGGCTGGCTGAATGGATAAGAAAATACAGGCCAAGTATATGCTATCTTCAGGAAACACATCTAACCTGCAAGGATGCTCAGTATTCCAAGCAAATGAAAGCCAAAAGAAGGCTCATGGCAGTTATATATTCAGATGATTTAGTTTTTAAAGCAACAAAAGTAGTGAAAGACAAAGAGAGTCATTATATAATGGTGAAGGGCACCAGTTCAACAAGAAGAGAGTAACAATTTTAAAATATAATGCACCCAACTTGGTGCACCCAGAATCAATAACGCGAACCTTACTGAACTAAGCAAATGATTAATAGCAACTCCCATAACCACCAGAGATTTCAACACCCACTGACGCATCAAACTAGATCCTCTCAAAAGATAATTAATAGAAATAATGGACTTAAACAAAACTCTAGAACAATTGGGTCTGACTGACATTTACAGAAACATTCTAACAAAATCCACTGATATACATCTTCCTCATCAGCACACGGGACATTCGTCTAAGATTGAACTATATCCCTAGGATCTCATCATCTCTAATCATCCAGGGAAATGCAAACAAGAACCCAATAATAGCACTTAACTCCAGTGAAGGAGAATGCCTTTATGAAATAGTCCTCCAAATAACCAATATTGCGTGGATGCGGAGAGAGAGGAACACTCCTACACTGCTGTGGGACTTACAAATAGTTCAACCTCTCGTGGAAATCTCTGTGGAAAGCAATAATGAGATACCGGTTAAAGCGACTACAAGTGATCGTACCATTTGATCAGCAACCATTGCCTGGGCATCCTACCCCAAAAGATCCAATGACCACTCTACAAAAAAGGACACCTGCAACTTGAAATGTTTATACAGCACATTCATAATTGCAAGGCTGGGAAACAGCCCAAGTCCCATCCCAATTAAAATCCAAGAATTGTATCGATAAAATGTGGTAATGTAACCCATGAGTACTATCTCATGCTCTAAGAACAATGGTGATTAGCACATCTAGTATTCCTGGTTAGAGCCTGGAACCTCCTACTAGGCTCTAAGTGAAGTATCCCAAGAATGGAAAAACAACCCAACCCATATATCACCAGCAAACTGGTATTAACTGGAGTAGCCCACTAAGTGGACACCCCATAGGCACCTAACAAAAAGCCAATTGGCAGGTAAAGTAAAGTAAACTGGCAGGACAGCTTCTCATCCCTGCCATGTTTCTGATGATGCCTGGTGGCCATTGCCACAACCCGTTACTCAGGATGTAGCATCAGGTATGTGGTTCCAGTGGGGCTTAGAGGACAAAGACACATCACGGACTGAGATGCTGGGGGGAGTGGGTAGGTATCAGGGAGGATGATAAAGTGTGAGTTGCTGCTTTGGCTAAATTTTCCAACCACTAGCAGTCAATCTACCCTATGCTTTGAAGTCGCTTCATGAAGCTCAGGGAGATGCAAATAGAAGGCATTGAACATCCTGGCTCTCTATCTCTTTCAGGAAATGCACTTGGATTTGTTTTGTGGGAAAGAACAGGTAAAGGGTTTCAACTGCTTCCCATGGACCAAAGAAGTTCTGAGCTGTATTCTGTTTCCTCCACAGATGATGGGCACACTTTAGCTAACATCCTTGAAACTGACTATGTTGGCTACCTTATCTATCATGCTGAGAATTCCAACAATGAGGGAAAATCTCAAATTATGGAGCTCTATGGTAGAGTATTTTCATGCTGGCACTCATCTTGGGTTGGGGACAGGGGAAGGAAGGAACTTAGGTATTCAGTGATCTTCCCAATTTTACCTTGGACTATCTCTCCCCTTCAGAAGACAGATGCTTTCCCTTGGTAAACCCTTAGGCTCAGTGATAGGAAGATTACAAAATCTCTCATCATGCCAGAAAGATATCCTACTGATGTCAAACTCAGGACAGGCTATCTCCACCCTGTAAGATTTCTGCCTCAGCATCCAATCGGTTGCATCCTTTTCCCATCCCTCTGGAGCCCTGTTCTCTCATTTACCTCTGTGACCAATACAGAAGAACCGGCAGTCATTGTCACTCTTCCCACAGGCCGCGAACCAGATGTGAGCCCAGAACTCAAGGAAAAGTTTGTGGAATATTGTAGAGCACATGGAATTGCTCAGGAAAACATACTTGACTTGACCAAAATTAGTAAGTTGAGCTACTTGGTTTTCCCTCCTAAATTTCCATGTTACAAAAGGGAGAAAAATCAGGGAAAGTAATACCCCAAATCAGTGCCCTGAGTCCTAACCTGGAGAATCATCCCGTTTCTTTCTAAAAACTAAACTGGTGTTGGCGTCTGAATGTGTTCTGTTCTGCCTCTACAGATCGCTGTCTCCAGGCCCGAGACAATGCACTGGTCTAAGCCTCCAGGTGGGTGATCTCTGACCCTGGTGGAGAGTGGTGGCCCAGGGACCAGCGTCTTCCAAAAGCATTAGGGGTTCATAACCAAATATTACCATAAAAATAATTTGGTAATGAAGTTTGTGCAGAGAGCTTGAAATTTGGAGTTGAAAGACATGGATTGAAGACCCAGTTCTGCCATGAGCTTTTGGGAAAATAACCTAAGCAATTAAAAAGGAAGCAATGATGTTGCCTAACAGAGTTGCTGTGTGGATGTGATGCCGGTAAAAACAGCTCAGTAATTCATGATGTGCTGAAAATCACTGAGACAAAGTTTGAAATGGAATAAAGAGTAGGAGTACTTTAGCAATTTGCAGAAAGTAAGCATTTAAGAAAAGGTAGCTATGCCTTTTCTCATTTATTCCTCTTATCAAATATTCTCCAAAACTTCTAATGGTGAAGGTGGCAGAAAGAAACCAAGAGTCCTTTATTGCCTCCTTTCTGGTTTTTCTAGATTCAGTGGGGAAAGGTTAAGATAGCATTAGCAACAGTAAAAAGAAAAGGTCACTTACTCAATACCCTTCCTTCTATTCTAGTAAATAATGTAAATTAGAAGGTAGGGTGAGATAACTTTCTCTGTTTTCTCTCCATTTTTCTCTGTTAATAGAATTTCTCTCCATCCTCCACTCAGTTCCAAGGAACACCGTAATAAGTTTCTGTGTTCTCTTTCTTCGTCTGTTATTTAGTGTTGATGATTGGCTTCCCACCTGGCTCAGCATCTTCCCTTCCTGGTCCCCTGTCCTGCTGTGACAAGTTCTGTGACCTGGTTTCCATCACTGTTCCACAGGAAGGCATATATCCCTGTCCTTCGGGGGTCTGCCCTGATTGCCTAAGAAGACTTGTCAATTCTTCAAGAATCAAAAAGTTTGCTCTGCATTTTCTTCACTTTCTTTCCTACCCCAGGGAAGTCTACATGAATGACCCTTCACTTGACCAGGTCGAATAAGATAATTAGCCTCGCAATCACGTGATTTGTCTTGTGTCTTGGAGTATGTAGGGCTTGACAGCAAGGCAAATGAGAGGACTTCCTTCATGATCTTCCTTAGCTTCTCAGATCTTCCCTGAGGTTCAGGTGGTGCTCCCTCCTCTGCAGTTAAATCTCTGCCTTATCCCAAGTCCCCGTGAGTACTGCTTGCTCTTTGATTTGCCTGTTTCTCAGTGACCTGATATGACCACTCTACATACCTAAGAATATAAGACTTGGCCCCAATTTTTCCAGCCAAGAATTCTTTGTCAGTGTGGCACTGAGGCTTAGTCTCTAAGGCGATTCCAGACACCTCCATATCCCAGCTTCTTTATACATCCATGCCATGAGATGGTTCAGGTCCTTCCACGCTCTTGGAATAACCTCCTCCACCAGTTGTTATCTACTGTAACATATTAAGTGAGATTCCATTAAATGTGAGCAATGCCTATCTTGTGCAATTGTCTTAGTGCTGTCAGGAGGACCAAGGGATAAATGTTAGTACTTCTTTGGGAGATAACAGGCTTTGGCAGAGGGAAATTAAAGGACTTTCCCCGAATGACGCCTTTCCCAGCACCAGCAGACAAAAATAGTGTAAAATCACATGGGACAAAAGATGAGAGGGCTGTCCTGCAAAAGAATTGGTCTGTCATTACAGGAATTAAAATGTTAATGAGAAAAGCCTTTCCAGGTATTTGAAGATCCCCATAAGCTTTCTCGCCTCCAGACTGAGACTAAATTAGGTTCAGGTGATTACTCCTGCATCAAGTACTTGTCTGGTTTGCTGAACTTGGAGGCGCTAAAACAGACTCTGCTTTTCTCCACCAACACACACTGGGTGGGCGTTGTGATGATTCCCACTGGAGGAGGAGAAGGGCTGCATGCCCACACATGGTCCAACTTGAACACTGGGGAGTGTGTGAACAAATTGTAGTGTTATTTTCCATAAGCAATTTTCAGAGGTCTTTGGCATTTCTCTTTTGCATACAGTCAATGAAATATTCAATTGAGATTTGGAGTTGAAAGACATGGATTGAGCCAGTTCTGCATGAGCTTTGGAAAATAACCTAAGCAATTAAAAGGAAGCAATGATGTCTGCTAACAGAGTTGCTGTGTGGATGTGATGCTGGTAAAAACAGCTCAGTAATGATAAGTGCTGAAAATCACTGAGACAAAGGTTTGAAATGGAAAAAAGAGTAGTAGTACTTTAGCAATTGCAGAAAGTAAGCATTTAATAAAAGGTAGCTATGCCTTTTGCATTTCTCCTCACTTGTCAAAAACTCCAAAATTAATCTAAGGTGCAGAACAAAAAGGGTCCTTTTATTACTAAAGGTTTGTAAAGCTGAACGCAATGACTATCCAGTGCCCTGAAATTATTATTTTGTCCCTGGTGTTGATCTAGGCTACTTTATTAACTCCAAAATCACAATGGGAGTGGATCTTGGTTTTATTCTCAAACTACTTTGGGCTTTTCTTAGAAATATATTACAATTTTACTTAAAATTAAAACACCACCCTTTGCATGAAAAGTAGGATTTTTGACATGCACATAGTCAGTGTCTTCCCATTTCTTTATTATTGCCACATGTTCATTTAGCTCCTGCTTTGTGCCAGGCACTGTTCTGGGCTAAGGATATAGCAGGAAACAAACCAACAAAAATACTATCCTTGGGAGTTTAAATGCTATTCAGGAGTTAGAAAATAAACAAGTGAATAATCAATATAAAGTTAGGGACTATGTGCTATGACAGGGAAAATATGTGAGGCTCGGCCCTGTCTTTCTAAAGCCTACTGTTATCTCTAGGAGAAATGTGCTTTAGGTAGAGGGCATAGCTATTCCAAAGGTCGTGGGATGGAAATAACTCAACATGTTCAGAACAGCAAAAGTCCAGTGAAGAGTGTAACAGGCTGGGACCTGAGGTCAGACTCGGAGAAGTCAACACTGAAAGCAGTTGGATGATTTCTATTAATCAGAGTGATGGTGAGAGAACCAGGAGAATGAGCGGATGAGAAACACCACCAAACAGAGTGTCTCTGCGAAAAGACAGATCTTAGCAAAATTAGAAGAAAGAAACAAGGAGACGAGCCTACATCGGATGAGGGTCGGAAGGAGGAGTACCGGAGACCACGGAGACTGCACAGGAGGAGTCACAGAGAAGAACTGGAAGCTGGAGCAGCCAGAGACCAGCGGGAAGTGTAGGTGGATAGGCCTTTCCCCTCCCTGCATCCTGGCTGCTGGTGGGCTCCCTAGCAAGTGGAGAGACACTGCGGACACCAGCCCAGAGACGGCCGCTGCCAGTGAGGGAACAAGAGCTGATAACAGGACATAAAAACAACAGCGTAGCCTGCTCCTCCAAGCAAGCGCCACCTACTGACAGGAGAGCATCCTGCACACCCTTTTCACAACCTACTGACTCATTATAAAGGGAGTGGTCGAATCTCACCCACAGACACCACCTAACGGCTAGAAACTAAAGAAGGTTGTGAATACCCAAACAAAACCTAAAGAAAAGAAACAACAACTGATCAACATGAGAAGAAATCAGCGAAGGAACTCAGGAAATATGAAGAACCAAGCGGAAAACACACCCCCAAAGAGGAGCCCCAGCCCCCTAGAAATGGGCACCAACCAAAATCAGGCAACCAAAATGACAGAAGAGGAATTTCGTATGTGGATCATAAGAACACTCACCAACCTGCAAGAACAACTCAATAACCAACACAAAGAAACCACAAAAAGCCTCCAGGATCAGGAAAAAAGGTTCACTGAAGAAATAGACACAATGAAGGAAAGTTTAACTGAACTCCTGGAAATGAAGAATCAATTCAGGGAACTACAAAATACAGTGGAAAGTCTCAAGAACAGGGTAGATTAAACAGAAGAAAGAATCTCAGAGCTTGAAGATAACACCCTCCAATTAAATAAATCAGTCACAGAAATAGAGCAGAGAAACAAGAGAAAAGAGCAAAGTCTACAAGAGATGTGGGATTATGTGAAGAAACCTAATGTGAGGATCATAGGGTTACCAGAAGGGGAAGAAGACAACAATCACGGGTTGGACAAGCTATTTGAAGATATAATAGAGGAAATTTCCCAGGCCTTGCTCAAAATCTCGATATAAAAGTTCAAGAAGCTCAGAGGACCCCTGGGAGATTCAATGTAAACAAGAAGACGTCACAACATGCAGTCATCAGACTGACCAAAACATCAACTAAAGAGGCCCTTCTAAGAGCTGTAAGACAAAAGAAGCAAGTAACATTCAAGGGAAAGCCAATTCAAATAACACCAGACTTCTCTAATGAGACTTTACAAGCAAGGAGAGACTGGGGCCCCATTCTCACTCTTTTGAAACAAAACAATGCCCAGCCTAGAATCTTATTCCCTGCAAAACTAAGCTTCATATATGAAGGAGAAATAAAGACATTCTCAGACAAGCAAAGTCTCAGAGAATTCACCAAGCCAAGATCAGCCCTACAAGAAGTACTCAAAACAGCGTTACGCATGGAACATCATAATAATAACCCACGAATATAAAACAACCAAAACCAAAGATTAAAGGCCAGATATTACAATGGCTCAAGACAGAAATCATAGCAACAACATCCGACCCAACAGAATGAACAGTAATCCACCTTACCTATCAGTTCTCTCAATAAATGTGAATGGCTTAAACTCTCCACTCAAGAGACATAGGCTGGCTGAATGGATAAGAAAATACAGGCCAAGTATATGCTATCTTCAGGAAACACATCTAACCTGCAAGGATGCTCAGTATTCCAAGCAAATGAAAGCCAAAAGAAGGCTGGCATGGCAGTTCTAATTTCAGATGATTTAGTTTTTAAAGCAACAAAAGTAGTGAAAGACAAAGAGAGTCATTATATAATGGTGAAGGGCACAGTTCAACAAGAAGAGATAACAATTTTAAATATATATGCACCCAACTTAGGTGCACCCAGAATCATAAAGCGAACCTTACTGGAACTAAGCAAATGGATTAATAGCAACTCCATAATCACCAGAGATTTCAACACCCCACTGACGGCACAAGACAGATCCTCCAAACAGAAAATTAATAAAGAAATAATGGACTTAAACAAAACTCTAGAACAATTGGGTCTGACTGACATTTACAGAACATTCTACCCAAAATCCACTGAATATACATTCTTCTCATCAGCACACGGGACATTCTCTAAGATTGACTATATCCTAGGATGCTCATCATCTCTAATCATCAGGGAAATGCAAATCAAAACCACAATGAGATATCACTTAACTCCAGTGAGAATGGCCTTTATGAAATAGTCTCCAAATAACAAATGCTGGCGTGGATGCGGAGAGAGAGGAACACTCCCTCCTACACTGCTGGTGGGACTACAAACTAGTTCAACCTCTGTGGAAAGCAATATGGAGATACCTTAAAGCGATACAAGTGAATCTACCATTTGATCCAGCAATCCCATTGCTGGGCATCTACCCAAAAGATCCAATGACACTCTACAAAAAAGAACTGCACTCGAATGTTTATGCAGCACAATTCATAATTGCAACAAGGCCCCATCAATCCAAGAATGGATTATAAAATGTGGTATATGTATACCATGGAGTACTATTCAGCTCTAAGAAACAATGGTGATATAGCACATCTTATATTTTCCTGGTTAGAGCTGGAACCCATACTACTAAGTGAAGTATCCCAAGAATGGAAAAACAAGCACCACATATATTCACCAGCAAACTGGTATTAACTGAGTAGCACCTAAGTGGACACATAGGTGCTACAGTAATAGGGTATTGAGCAAGGGGGAGAGGGGAGCGGGGCGGGTATATACATACATAATGAGTGAGATGTGCGCCATCTGGGGGATGGTCATGCTGGAAATTCAGACTTGTGGGGGGAGGGGGGAAAGGGCATTTATTGAAACCTTAAAATCAGTTCCCCCATAATATGCCGAAATAAAAATAAACAAATAAATAAATTAAATAAAATTAAAGAGTGATGGGAAGACATTGGGGCATCTTTGAGGACAACAAGGCTTGCAAAGATGTAGGAGTAATGTGTTTTAGGTAGAGGGCATAGCTATTCCAAAGATCATGGGATGCAAATAAACTCAATACGTTCAGGAACAGCAAAAGGTGCAGTGACAGAGTGAACAGGCTGGGACCTGAGGTCAGACTTGGCGAAGTCAATACTGAATGGAGTTGGAATGATTGCTATTAATAGGAGTGATGGGAAGACACTGAAGATTTTGAGCAGTGGATGAAAGCAATCTCACTCACTTCCACTCTTAAGGTTTGCTCTGGAAGCTCCGTAGAAAATGGATTCCACTCGTGAATAGAAATCAATGAAATGAAGATTAGAGCCAACAGCTATTGGCACATTTCTCAAATTTGTCAAAATAACAGAGTTTTCAATTTTTAAAAGGGACCATAATGTGAACCAGTTCTGTACTCTGCTGAGACTCTTTAGCTAACAGTTGCAAATTATATTTATAGTCATACATAAATAACAAAAATAAGCAACCACTGAATTAATACTCCTTAACACTCCTGACGGGAGAAACCTCACAATGCACAGAGGAAGAACAGAAAGAAGCACACTGCCACAGCAGAGCGGCTGTGGAGTGTGGCATAGCCATGGCCGGAAGGGGGCGCTCCTGCACCCTGCTGCACTTGCAGCCACTGGTCCTGTCAGCCAAGCACAGGATCAGTGAGTCTTCCTGTTGGCCAGCTTCAACCACCTTCACCTGCCTCCCGTGCTGCTGACAGAAAATGCAGTTATGAATTCTTCCTCTTTCATCCGTGGATCAGCTGGAACATATACAAGCCCGGATGGTTACAGAGATCTTGGTGAGGCTGCTGCCCCTGTCTTTCTAAGGCCACCTGTTATTCCAGGACACTAAATCAAATGGATATCTTTTTCAGTCCTCATTTTACTTGACTTTTCAGCAGCATTTCACCCACCTCTTCTTTCATTTTTTACATTCTCAGTTAAAACCTAATTGAAGAAAGAACACTCTCAAAAACATACAGTTGAGTATACTACACCACATGCAGTAAAGCTGAATGTGACAGTCATTTAACATGGACTGTCACACAAATGGGTATTTCTCCTTGTACAAAACAGTTTATATAGTTGTTTTATAATAAAATGTATTATACCAGGTTTACAAATAATGTATGTGAAGGAACTGGTAGGTTTTTAAGCCATACATTTCAAATAAATACATTCTATTAAAAACTAGCTCCATTTCTTTGGTATTCTAAATAAAATCTAAATCCCAACATTGGAATTGATGATAACCACAGAAAATTGACTCTGAAACTAATAATAAAATACACATTTTGCATTAATGTGTATTAAGTAGATTAAGTAGGGCAAAACCAAGAAATACCAGTTATTTCCATATAGCACACAAATAGGCACATTTAATAGTTCAGTTTTAAGCATCCCTTTAGATGTTTCTTTTCAAGTTTCTCACGTTAATTATTAAAATATGTTTTTGAAGTCTATCATTTAAGATAAAATACATTTCAGGAAAATACAAGGATTAATGTCAACAGTAGCATCACTACTATTCAGTTGAACCATATGAAACTGACAATACTCAAATGTTTTTTGACCTGTAAGATGACAGTATTATACAGTTCAACTCAATACATTCTGAGGAAACATTTCCTAGCCATACTTAATAAAAACCATTCATAATATGATACATAGGAAAATATATTTTAGGAGAAAGAAGAATAGGCATGATTTGGCCACACCACAAAATCCATGAGAAGCTTTCAAATTTGAACACTTTACATGCGTATCATTTGCACATCTGTCTTGTAGGTTTGTACAGCATTTGTTCTATTGGCACACAGTAAATCAAACATACTCCTACTCACATGCACACACAGATATGATTTCAAAATAGTGGCTGAAACGTCTTGTTCTTATCTGTCCCTCCTCAGGTTTTCCTGTCTTCATGAATAACTCAACAATTCATCTGCATAGACCAATAAAAAAATTGGAAGTTAATCTTGACACCTCACACTCCCCAAACCCCGAATCTAATACATTTCCCAACCCTATTCATTTTATATCTAAAAATCCCTCAACTCCAGCCACGTCTCTCCAAACTAATATGATCTCTTGCCTGCATGTTTGAATAGCTTCCTAAGTGATCTCCCAGCAACCTCTCCTGCTACTGCCACTGCCTGCCCATTGCTGTCCTTTCTCCAACTGTTGTCAGATGGATTTTTAGAAACACGCCTGTGATCATGCCATGTCTCTGCTTTTAACACTGTTCAAATGCTTCCCATTTTTATAAAGACACAAACCTTTAACATGGCATTCAAAGGCCTACATGATCTGGCCTCAAAACATTTGTGACTTAATATCAATTGACCATGAACCAGGAAAGATCACACAAGGGGCTGGGATGACTATTTTTTTTCCAGTCTGTTGCCTGGGCTAGAGTGCAGTGACACGATCTTAGCTCACTACAACTTCAAACTCCTTGCCTCAAGGGATCCTCCCACCTCAGCCTCCCAAGTAGCTGGGACTACAGGTGTGCACCGCCATGACAGGCTAACATTTTTTTGTACAACAGGGGCTCATTCTATTGCCCATGCTGGTCTTGGACTCCTGGCCTGAAGCAAACCTCCCACCCTGGCCTCCCAAACCACTGGGATTACAGGTGTGAGCCACTGTGCCCAGCCTGGGATGACTTTTTAAGTAGGTCACAAACAGAACATGACAGTTCCTAGGTTCATTGCCTTGTGCTCAGCTCCTCTCACAACACCAGCCTCTTCCTGGATTTTGGGGTGCAGAAAGGGACCATTAGCACAAGGCAGAAATGAGCCATAGCTTCTAACGGCCCCAGCTGACAGCACAGGATCCTGTCTCACAATGTTTCTCTCACCTGGAATGCTGAGCCCATGCGCTCTCCACATCTTCATACCCTCCCCAATGGCCAAGACCTACCCCAAGCCCCATCATAGCCAGGAAGCATTCTCTGCCCCTGCCAGCTCAATGTGTGCTAGACATCATGTTCAGGGTTTTATGCACGTCTTCCCATTGAATCCCTGCAGCATTCTGTTATGCAGAATTATAATTATCCCCACAAAGAGGAAACTAAGGCTCAGAGAGGTTAAAATCTGTGCTCATGGGTTCCAAATTGCAGAGACAGGAGTGAAGCCCAGGTGTGCATGACCCCTGAGCCTGTGTTGGTCACTATCTGTGTGATGCCACCACCCCAACAGCACCCCTTTATTGTATACAGTCTGGACTTGGTACCAGCCCCTCAATGGGTCATTTCATATGCTTCTAGAATCAAGTTGTTACTAAGTATATGAAGCATCTTCCCAACTTCATTGAAGATTCACTGAGGGAAGAAATGATATTTTGTACTTCTTTTCTCTTCTGGGACCACGTATAGACTTACATATGGTGATTAGATGCTGGTTCGTTCATTGGGGGGAGAGGAAAGGCGGCAGTGGTTGGGTTCACATAATATGGAGAAGGAAGTAAAATGTACTGAATACCAGATGCCATACTTTAAAGACATCATTTTAGCTAATCCTATTTTAATGCTTTGTGATAGGTACTGTTATCCTTGGTAGAGACCGTTTCTTTGTTTCTGGGACTTGTAAAAATTGAGTAACTCACATAATTCCACACACTGTGTGAGAGGTAGAACAAAGATTCTCACACATTCCATTTCCCTGTTACACCCATTCTGGCCTCATATTATTGGCTTTCTGATTCCAAAGCCAGAACCACAGTTCAATCTGGTTCCAAATGGCAGCCCTTTAGAACATCCACTATTTTTCTTGAGAAGAGGTTCTGAGAAATTTAAGGTCACTAACCAGATCTAACAGAGGTGGAATTGCCACATTTCAAAAGGGTAGAAACAATTGTGTGAATGAAAGACCATTTCATGGAGGGGGAGGAGAAAGGTGGTGGCCCATGTACAGAAATCTGGATCCAGAATTGATATAAAGACAGAGGAGCCACTGCTCGGGAAAGACTCACCCCTGGCAACTGAAGAGGAGACAGTGCCGTCCCCTATCAAGATGAAGCTGCTGTTGCTGAGTCTGGGCCTGGCCCTAGTTTCTAGCCAGGCACAAGAAATCGTTGATCCTGTGACAAGCAACTTCGATCTGTCAAAGGTAGAGCCATGGAGTGTAGTAACTTTTGACTTGGGGTGTGGGGCAAGGGCTTAGAGGATTCTGAAGCCAAAGGGGTCTTATTCATGGGGGGCAGAATTTCCTTAACATATTAGACAAAAGGGGTAGTTTCTGGCCTTGGACTAAGAGCAATTGCACCATATGGAGAGATGAGAGTGCTTGGGGACCTTCATTTCCCTGGAGTCAGTGGAAAGAGCCCTAGGCATGGTGCCCATTGACCTGAGTTCTAATTCTATCTTCACAACACCATCATAAGTCTTAGCCCACTGGCCAGAGTCCAAGGAGAGAATTGTCCATGTGTTATCCCCTCTCCTCTTTTCTTACCCAATCCTTTTCCTATGTATTGCAGCTTTCAGGAGACTGGTATTCCATTTACTTGGCCTCTGACAATAAGGAAAAGATAGAAGAGAATGGCAGCATGAGGGTTTTTGTGGAACGCATCTATGTCCTGGAGCACTCTTCTCTGTACTTTAAATTACATACAATGTAAGCGTGGGATATTTTTGTTTTTATAGATCTGGGGGTTATAAATGCAGTTTTGTTACATGGATATATTGTATAGTGGTTAAGTCTGGGCTCTTAGCATTCCCATCACCTGAATGGTGTACCTTGTACTCAATAGGTAAGTTTTCATCCTTCACCCAACCTCCCACTATCCCACCTTTTGGAACCTCCAATGCTTATTATTCCTAATTAGGAGATTTTTTAATTGGGCAAAGAAAAATTGAAGGCTGAGAATGGTCTTAAATATACAAACCCACAACACACACAAGTGTGCACATACATACCCATATGCAAATGTGTACACATACACATGCTGAGCCTGTGTCCGAAATCACAGTCCCTCATCTGGTACTAATCCAGGACTTGATGGATCTGGGGCTTTTCAAGATTCAGAGACAAGAGTTGGTAACAGGAATAAATTTAATGAGAGTGGAGAAAATAGGAGGTAGAGGCACACCAGCACAACAATATAGCATGCGTTAAGAGCATAGAATTTGAAATCAACAACCTGAATTCGAATCTATCTCTTACTTGCTATGTTGCCAAGGTACCTGATCTCTTTCCACCTCCATTTTCCTGCGGGTAGGAGGAGTTGATAACAATTCTCCCTCGTGTCTTTTTGTGAGGACCAACTCAGGTAACATTTGTAAAGCAGTTACTTGAGAGGCTGCCAGGTCGTGAACACTGTGCTCAGGATCTAGACAAGTACTTGTGGTAACAATAACAGTGGCAAGTAGTGGTAGTAGCAAGAGTGATAAAACTAAGCAAAATAATATTCTCCGGTAACTGAACAAAAATATGTCTGAAACTTAGTTGGAATCAGAAACTCAAGTTATGGGGAGAGTAGAGGGGAAGGGAGCCAGCCTCATTAATATCTCTTGGGCATTAACTCATGCTGTTTCACAGCGTAAATGGAGAGTGCAGTGAAGTTCCTTTTGTTTGTGACTCAACAGGAAAAGATGGTGAATGTAGTTCTGACTGTAAGTATACAACAAAATTCTTTCTAAAGTCTACTTCCAGCTGGAAGGAATTTGCTAAACCCCAATAGCTTCAGGATCAATTCTTGATTAATGCTTGTTTGGGTAATATAACAGGGGCCATCTAATAGCCAATATCCTGAACTGGGGAGAACTCTGTATGTGAAAGCCAATGCTTGACACAGAATTCCATCAGCTGAAGAAGGCAGTTTGGTTGTATGTACCTCCTGCAACAAAAGCCAATTGGCAGGTAAAGTAAAGTAAACTGGCAGGACAGCTTCTCATCCCTGCCATGTTTCTGATGATGCCTGGTGGCCATTGCCACAACCCGTTCTCAGGAGTAGCATCCAGGTATCGTGTTCGCATGGGGCTTAGAGGAGCAACAGCACCATCACGGACCTGAGATGCTGGGGGAAAGTGGGTAGGTAATCAGGAGATGATAAAGTGT